ACCTGTGCCGGGGATGGTTGAGATGGTTGTGGTGCCCGAGGAGTGGCGGAACCAACGCTTAGTTTCAATTGAAACATCTGTCACCGATTGGAGTGTAGTTTAGTTTAACGATTGGTTTACTTATTGCCAGCATTTCGTATTGTCTATCATCTCTCTCTCTCTCTCTCTCTCTCTCTCTCTCTCTCTCTGTTATTATTATTGACTGATTAATAGCTGAAATAGCAATTAATTGTATATTTGTAACATGGTTATGATGTGATGTTACCTTATTTATCAAATAAATACATTATTCATTGCATTCTTTGTTACGATTCTGTGGACACATTTCCAATGAATTCCCAATTAATTAATACTCGTGTGAAAATCGCCACAAAAATGAGTTAATTTATATGTCAATCACTTTTACGTTTTGTGTGTTAATTACAATTTAAAGTATTTCTAATATAATGAGCAGATTTAGTGACCGTATTTCTTATCAAAACTAAAATCCAAATTTAATTTTAATAATGTTTGCGTTCATTATTAGATAATGTAATGCATGGCAAATGTCTTTGTTGTGTAAAAACACTTTTTATTAATATTATATTAATATTCCGACACATTTAGGACTTATCAACACATATTTTGTCGTTTTAATTAATGATTTGTGACTTAAATAACAATTTTATTCACAATACGAAACACACGAATTGTATGCATTGAATCGTTTATAATATTATGAGATATTTATATGAATTGAAAGCATATTTTATATGAATTGTTTTGAAACAAATATTTTGATGATAGAAATGCGATTCTGTTTGAGTGAGAAAATACATCAGTAATTATAATCGCCATCATTTTGACAACTGATTTATGTAATGCTATGTTATAACAAATTCAACTGTTTATTAATTATTAAAGGAGTTTTTAATTGAAATTATAAATAGGTTTTTCTCGTCAAATGCCACGAAAAGCAGTTTTGTTTCATTCACTCCTGTGTTAAGTGTTATACCGAGAAAAATAATACACATGTTTTTGCAACAAAATTGTATTGTGTTTTATATTAATCTAATGATGTTTAACACAATCAATATGTTTACCAATGATTTGTTGAATACATTTTACCAAACATTGTGTATTCAAAAATGGCATGAATTTGTTGTTTAAACAATCGCTGTTTATTTGTTTTGAATATTAAAAATATGATTTAAAACTTCAGTAATTCTAACCAATTATTTAACTTAAATACAGGAGACGACGACATGTACTCTGTTTTTGTACAGAGACTACTGTTTGCCTCAATTTAGACGAGGAAAAGGGTTGAGATGTTTACGAAGCGAACCCTTATTTATAGAATATTCCGTTGTTTTGATCTTTGATTTCGCGATAGAGATATGCAATTAGTTTGAAATCAATCGACCATTTATTCAAATAAATATTTATTTAGTCTGATTTTAAACCTCTCTCTCTCCTCTGTTTATAACACTTACATATATTTATAGATAATATATACATATTACATAATTATTATACCCATTAATCGCACAATTCCTGCCGTTGTTATGTATTTCAAGGGTTCTCTCTCTCTCTCTCTCTCTCTCTCTCACTCATCCGGGAGAATATATGCTAATTGAAAGTCTGTATGATTTTTGCCAAATTTATGTCAAAACATATCATTATTGGATTTAAAATCATATATTTATTTATATTTTAATTTCGATGTGAATAAAAATTATTTAGTTCTCAATTAGAGATCGTGTAAAGAATTATCACTAAAAATACAACATTTAATTGAAAAACTATTCCATTAAATGGAAAAATATTTGTTTTAAACTTACTAATAGAGACATTTTTATAAACTATTTATTTAATGTATTAATTAAATTAATAAATAGATATGTATATGAATTTGCTATTAAGATTAAACGCTAATCAATTGATTGATAACAATATTAATTAAATTTCTGCGATTAAAATGAATTAAAATGAGATAAAAGTTATGATTGAAAAGTGAAATAACATTTCGATATATATTGAGGAAAACAGATGTCGCGTTGTATTCACTAGTTTTTTGTGAAACAAGTTTTTCGCAAATATTTAAATCCAATGCTCTGTTCAGAGATTTAATGATGAATTGAACCGTACATTCATTCATTAAAAAACATAATTATTATACCCATTAATCGCACAATTCCTGCCGTTGTTATGTATTTCAAGGGTTCTCTCATTTTAATGTTTGTTTGTTTACTTCATCCGCAGATCTCTTATGAAACTTTGTTTTTCCATTAAATTAGTTGAAAAATATTTTCAATATTATATGATTTAAAAAACAATATATTGTTTTTAATGTTATTTAATAACAACAATACGCGAAAATGAGTTTATAAGAAATAAGTTTACCTTTTTTGTTGTTTTATTTGCACGACTTTTATTTCCAGCGCTTAATAGTATTTAATAGTATATGAGATGCGAATTGAATTGAAAGATAAGAGAAATTTTTAAGTAAGTGTTTTTGCATATAATATATTATAACATTAATATATTGTAAAATAAATACAATGCATTTTTCGGCGTTTAAATTAAAACACAATTAATTGTTTTGTTTTTCGTGAAATAACAAAAGAGTGTATAAAATTCAATTGCATTTTAATTATAAGTCTGGTATTTATTTGTGAATATAATTTTTTTATTCATTTAAAAGACAAACAATTTTTTCCGTCAAATAATTTCCGATTTAAAAGTTGTTGTTTTGAAACTAATTTTCGCTTTTGGTTTAATTAGTAATTAATAATTACTTGAAAAATGACAGAAAGAAAGTAAGAAAGAAAGCAAAATATGTATATATTATCTATAAATATATGTAAGTGTTATAAACAAGTTGTGTCTAAAATAAAAGCAATGTTTTAAATATACATTTATTTGATATTTATTTAGTTTTAATATAAAATCTTGAGAGAGAGAGAGAGAGAGAGAGCGAGAGAGAGAGATTTGTTAATAGATTTTGAGATATTTGAATACTAGAAAGACATATTTGCAACTTATTTGAACAAGTTAACCTTGATCTAAAACAACTTTCTTCACTTTTTACCAAAAAATCCTACTTTTTATGTGTCATTAATTTTCTACCTCTCATACCTCTCAACGTATATCTTAAGAATATTTTATATATGTTTTAAACATATCTCTCAATACCTGTAAATATAATAATATATACTATATATTAATATTTAAGTTTTAAATACAAAATAACGCTTTAGGCTGTGATTTTCAAATATAGAAAATGTTATATACTGTTAGGTAATGTGTTTGTTATATAAAGTACTCTCCCTCTCGCTCTCTCCCTACCTGTTTGTTAACTACTCATTTGCCTCTACCATTAGCTCCCGGACCCACTCAACAATTCCCCGTTTATTATGATAGACATGACTATCCGAGAGTACAAACTCTATGCGAAAGTACTATTTGCGGTACTTTTTTGCTAAAACACAGATTCATTATATTTTAAAATTATTTCTATTATAAAGATTTGAATACAAATTTTTAAATTCTCGGAGAAGTTCTATGGAAAAAGTTTTACTGAAAAATATCTATTGAAGACACTCTTCCATTGAATGTTAGAATATTTGTTTTGAACTAAACGTTAACATTAATTAGATAGACATATACTGTATGTGAATTTGGTGTTCAGATTAAAAGCAAATCAATTGATTGATTAAATTGTTTATCAATTTTTAGTAATTGAAAAGAAAGTAACGATTGAAAAGTGAAATAACATGTATATTGAGGCAAATAGATGTCGCGGTGTATATACAGTGATAACATGCATAACGGCACTCAAACAAACCCATAGCAAATGCATTGCCCACTCATAACAATACAACTGAGCATGGGTGAAAAAGTAGCACAATATTTTTACTTTCAATGGCTTGCCTAAGCATGTATCGCATTATATGGGAATAACGTTATGTCTATGAGAGCTAATGCTAAATGTATGGAGAATTTGGTAAATTCACGAATTGATATGAAAGCGAAAACAATTTGAATACTGTTTTTAATTAAAGAAAAGTCAGATATTTTTACATTGAAATACAAAAAGAGACAAAACTTGTTGTATTTGTGTTACAATTTGTGATATATGTGTGAAAAATAAGTGCACTTTCACTATAACCTAATGAGGATTAAAGTAATCCTTTATTCAAAGTTTTCAACAGTGCCTTAAGTATTGCTGTTAATCCGTACAGTGTTTTGGTGTGAAACGAGTTTTTTAATCCAATCCACTGTTTGCAAGAGATTTGGATTTAATATTCAATTAAATCCATGAATTGATTAAAAGGCATAATAATTATAATATCCATTAATCTCTCGATTCCTTCGGATGTTATGTATTTCAAGGGTTTCTCAGTTTAATATTTATTTGTTTTCATCATTTAACTGATCTCTTATGAAACTTTGTTTTCCACTAATAAACTAAACATGTTGTTAATAAATTGAAAGTACACTATATATACAGAATATATATATATGTGTGTATGAATACGGTGAAAAAAGTGCGAGTATACATGTATGTATGTAGTGTTTTGATCTTGACCCGGATACACACAAACACACATTCACAGCACAACTATTGACCCATATTTTTAAGTAATCCGTTATTTTTATTATTGAATAACAGTTTTTTTCAGATTTTATAACAGTAAACATAGGCTTTTCATGTGTGCGAATATTTTCGCTCAAAACGCTTTTCATTTATGAATATGTTTTCACTTTCTTTGGTTTCAATTCTGTATTCAGTGTTTTAAGTGTTGTTTTTTTGTGTTGTGTTTATTATTAACTTATCATTGAATTTGAATGCATTGAGTTGTGAGGAGAGAGTGAAGTGAGTGATAGGGGATGTGTTGTGAACGACAATTCAATAAACTATTAGAAATTATATTAATTTCTAATAATTATTATTATTAGAAATTAAATTATATTAATATAAAACTAAACGACAAAAAATGTGTTCAATTCTTGAGACAATGATGACCACAATGTCCTACAATATTGACAATTCCGGTCACTGTTATATTCCAGCGCCGGCACAGTTACCGTCCAGTGTTGGCCAATCGGGGCTCAGTCTGACGATAGGCGGCCAGAATATGTCGGGCGGCGGCGGTCTGATGGAGTACGGGGGCCACCATCAGGTGCAGCAACAACACGATCACCCCGACACCAAGGAGGGCATCGAAGAGTTGTGTCCCGTTTGCGGCGACAAAGTCAGTGGCTATCACTACGGACTCCTCACCTGCGAGTCCTGTAAGGGCTTCTTCAAGCGTACCGTTCAGAACAAGAAGGTCTACACCTGTGTCGCCGACAGGAGCTGTCATATCGACAAATCTCAGCGCAAGAGATGTCCGTTTTGTAGATTTCAGAAGTGCCTCGACGTCGGCATGAAGTTAGAGGGTATGTATACTTTTGTTATGGCTTTGGCGCAACCCTTTCCCCCACCCCTACCCTACCATTTAGTCCCCACTCTTTCCCATATTATATGATATATAACTAATGTTGTGCTGAAATGGTTGCAGCGGTTCGGGCGGACCGCATGAGAGGCGGTCGTAATAAGTTTGGGCCGATGTATAAGCGCGATAGGGCCCGAAGATTACAACTGTTGCGACAAAAACAGTTGACTCGTCCGCAATGTCAGGCGCCGGTCTCTCTCAATCATAACACCGGTGGCCGCGGCGGCAACGGGTCCGGCGAAGTGGGCCCACACTTCTTGGCCGCCCTTCACGGCGTGCCCACCACTGCCCACATATACAGTGCCGATGGTATCAAACAGGAGTTGATTCAAATCCCACAGTTATCGTCATCGACCTCATCGCCCGACTCGTCGCCCTCTTCCGGTCAGCAGCCATTAGCCATCGCCAGTTCGGCCCATCAGTTCGTCACAGTGTCCGGCGGCCAGTCGTCCGGACCGCACGTTCAGACGCAACAACAACAACAGCCACAACACCCGCCCAACGCCGTCGCCACCATTCACTCGCCAGTGGGCGCGCCGTCCGATCTTATGAAATGGGTGGCCACCGGACCGGGAGGTCAGGGAAGCGGCGGTTCGGCCAACGGAACGCCCACGAGTCTGACGCCCAAGAATGGCGGGCACTTCCACTACGAGGGCGCGCCGTCCACTGCCACGGGTTCGCTGAGCGGCGTTACGGCCATTCAGGTGTCGGGCGCTGTGGGAAAGATACCGGCGCTGATCCGCGAGTTCCAGGTGTCGGCGCCCGACGACAAGGAATGGCAATCGCAGCTCTTCGGTCTCCTCCAGAATCAGACGTACAATCAGTGCGAAGTGGATCTCTTCGAACTGATGTGCAAAGTGATCGATCAGTCCCTCTTCGCGCAGGTCGACTGGGCTCGCAATAGCATCTTCTTCAAAGATCTTAAGGTATGTCTGCCTTTCTGTTTGCGTTTAATTGCTTTTCCGTTATAATGATTAACACGTTGTGTGAGATTTGGTATTGTCTTTCTGTTAATTCATATTTAAATCAGTTTCTCATTTAAATATTAATAATTAATTGACTTTTTTGTGAGAGAAATAACGCGAAATTCAAATTTCAATGCCATTTGATTCATAAGTTTTTGTAATGATAATTACAATCACAATAATAATAGAGTTATTATAATAGCGGTTATAACGAAATGTGAGTTTTTGATTATTTTTCTTTATTATATATCCATAACTCTATTATAGCTTTAATTTTTTGTTTCTGAGACCTAATTGTAATACAAAATTACAATAGTATTATAAATACGGCTATAAATCGCAATTTGATTGTATGTCATATACACCAGTGTTTAGAGGAACTGGCGATGCATTTCCTCTCGGCTTTCCTTTTTCTCTCTCGGTCTCCCATTTTTGCCATACGTTTGCACTTTAATTACTATAACTGTTGTTATAATTGTATAGTTGTGTTAAGTTTTACAATTTTCTTTCTCTTTTTGATAGATATTTTCTCACTTTAAATAACACACATGTATTGAAATTCAGACAAATAACAGAGAAATTATTTTTTTGTATTTTGTTTGTGAGGTTTCCATACATGATGTGGAAGAAAGAAGTTAGCGTTTAAATTATAATTTTCTATAAAATACATGTATATTAATATACATTTATTTTATAATGAATTTATATATTAAGATATTTGTATTATAAGTGTATATATATTCTTGTGTTTATAAATGTAGGTCAAGTGAAAATGCGATTCACGAAACACACTATTTCTTAACATTTACTTTCGCTGGCAATGCCTGCGGGCGATCGCAGTTTGTTATATATATGCTTTTTTGTGTGCAGTATATTACGTATGTATAGATATGTTGAATTTCAATACCATTACCAAACAAACAGTCCTCTAAAAAACTGCCATCGCCTCAAACACAGGCCCTAATTGTATACCGATTTTCATTACTATCAAAACACGATTGGTATTGAAATTTTTGCTGAGATTTTATTGTTATGTAGTTTTTTTCTGTCCATTAGTCGCTCACTAATGCAATTCATATACAAATATTATCATTAGTTTATTGTTTTGTACGGATTTCTTAATACTTTTTTGTTTTTCTCTTTTGCCAATTGTATTGTTTAGCGCAAAATAGACTTAATTTACATTTAATGTTTGATTTTATAATTTAGTTTTTATGTTAGAAAAGTAATAATGGCTTAATTTGTAGACCAAAAACAAAAGCAACAGTCGATAGGTTTTACCCGAGTTTCTCTCTTTGTCAGTGTTTAAGACAAGCGATTAATTATAGATAAACTTAATTATAGTTTTAAAACTATTAATTGATAGGTAGGGTATGGTCTGGAGGAAGGGATCAGAGATTAAACCCAACGTTTATAACGGCGTTGTGTTTGTATTTGAGGACAGGATTTGTTATATTTTTTATAATATGTAATTAATTGTAATTTTTGGTTATATATAATAAAAGTCAGCATTCCTTAGAGAAATGTATTTTATTTTTCAATACAAACTAACGGATCGTATTATCTTTGATCCCATTTTTGCGAATATTTTTTCTCTTCTTTTTTTTATTCATTGGACTTTTGGTTAAATTTGATTTTTTTGGTCAAAGTTTCTAAAGAATGTAATATTTTTTGTTTCGGTATTTAATATTGCAATTAATTAAAGAGTATTGAAATTGAAATGAATGTGAAAATAATGAGTTTATATTTGAATTACAGAATTATATGTATAAATACAATAATAAATCTCTCTTTGAATTGTTATTTATTTATGCTCTCATTTTTGACGTTTTTATGTAATATAAATAATTCAGTCATTATTTTTTGTTAGAGTAAATTATAATCGATATGTATTTGTTTATATATCGTAAGTTTGTTTGCGGTTGTGATGAGAGAGCGAGAGAGAGAGAGAGAGAGAGAGAGAGAGAGAGAATTTAAAAACGCAATTCAGATATAATTTATAACATTTTAAATACAAAAAATAATAATAAAATAAATACTGAAAACGTATGCATAATATAATGTATTGTATATTAGATTTTTTAAAACAAAGAATATTTAATGTTTTGTTGTATTGCCGACGAAACATACATATGATATGATATCTATGGGAAGGTTTACTACTGTAATACCTGAATAGACAATAAATATAACAGTAGTTTTAAAACTAATAATTAAATGCATGGATACTGTGTATACAATGGTGTTATACAATGAATATATTGAATATGTGGTCATAAATTAAAAACTCATTTCAATTATTACTGCAATACTTGAAAGCAATGGGAATTTTTTAGAGGAATATATGTTTATAAACACCATATTTATGTGTTAGGGATGGGAGGGACAGACAGTCTGTGCAAAAATGCGGTGAATAAAAGTGAGAGAGAAATGAATAAATAAAAGTCCATTTTAATAGACTTTTTATACAAAAACAAATAATAATATGCATTTAAATTTGCAATTGAATAGCATTTATATTATTTTTAAGTGGAAAATGTGCATAAAAAATATGGCAGAATTTACAATACATATACAATATTAGCGCAAAAATGCCAAATATATGGTGTATTATAATTGTTGGAGAGAGAGACCAATAATACAAAGTTATTATGAAATTCTTGCGAAACACAAAAACGTTTAAGAATTGCATTAATTTTTGAAAAGTTTTAA